CGCGTTTACAGGTCTCTGGAAGGTATAAAAAGGAGGCTACAGACTGCTTGCTGCATAAGGTGCAATTTATGGAAATCCCCTTTATTGAGAATCTGCCTAAAAAGACTCAGTCTACAGTGGTGGCGGGAATTCAACGAGTGATAGCTCGATGTAGTTATCATAACCTGCCAGCTAGGCGGTTCCACTCAGATAGAGGAAGGGAGTTTAACAACGCCAGGCTAAGGGATTACTTGGCAGCTAGGGGTGTTCACAAAACAGTAACCTTTCCTGACGAGCCTCAGTCTAATGGCCGAGCAGAGTCTACTATCCGCCGCATCAAGGCCACAACCCGCGCTGTGCTACAGGAGCACGACGCAGGACCGGGGGAATGGGCTCTCGCGGCGAAGTACGCACACATTGTTTAAGGGCTAAGGCCTTCAAAGCCTTGAACATAAAGACCCCAGTTTGTCCCCCTTATAACACCACAGTTCAAGTGGTGGAGCGATCGTGGAGACGCTCACATTGGGAGAGCCGAACAGTAAAGGCTTAGATCAAGTGTCCTTCAGCTGACACGTCGCGTGGCTTAGTGGAACGAACTGAGCATGGGTTCCTGCTAACCACCGGGAAGCTGTGGCAGTCGGCGGTGAAGCCAAAGTTGAAGATCGAAGTCGATGGAGAACCTACTGTATTGAGTCTCAACCTACTGTGCCGGATCTTCCTACACATAAAGGCAAGAGCCGCCTGAGTGCCTTACTGTATCCCCAATGTCCAGCACCAAGTTTTCCTGAGCATACAGACCGCTCAGTCGAGCAGCTAGCTGCCAATATGCTCAGTGAATAGTTGTTTCGGTGTAGTCACCTGTCAATGCTGGTCCCGGCGACACCTGCTCGTACGTTTAAGACGACCCGTCCAGCAACCGCCTTTGAGGGCGACTCCTTCTTTCCGCGCAGTTGTGCGCGTGGCATTTTAGTGAGTATTAGTAATCATGCTCGCGATTATCCCAATGTTACGGCGTATTTAGCGGCTTTTCTGAGAGAGCGTACGTCTGATCCCTTTGCGGCATAGGCATAGTAATCCTGAGAAACTTTTCCACTCCAACCAAAGCGCCTACAGATTCAAGTCTCTGTCAAGCTGTTGCATGTCCACATGCATGGAAAATCACATGGGGTCATATGGAAACTATACATTTTGCACCCCTCCTCAGGATTCCAAACTCATTGGAATACTGCCGAACAAAAGCCATGTGAACGCTATGTCACACTGTTTGGACAAATTTACACACTAATTGTGATGGACATCCAAATTTTGCCCTACCGTGAAAACACTACATAGCAAGTCTGAGCTCTGCTGACTCAAACCTCGCCGCAAAAGATGATTGGGCTGAACCTCTCACATCATCTTTTCAAAGATGGAAGAGTTAGGTACCAACCGCAGTTTAAACACCCTAGTCCAAGGGAAAACATGCATCCACCAACGGATTCACACAACATGCTACACAACAACTTCAGTTGGGCTCGTGGTTCAAACTCAGGTTCCCTCGCCGCAGCTAACAGCAGCTCACAGCAGCATTCATTGGATAAATCAACGTCTCACCTTTCTCCTTCCATCACTCGGGGGTTCGATCCAGGTAGTACATGAGGTCTGCATTGACCGCATGGAGCCAAGTGAAGCCGCTGATGATGATCAGCTGTGTAGGTGATAACTCTGGTCGCCGCTCGCAGGCATCCACATCCAGGTTCACGATACACTTGCCCATGACTTGGACAAAACTTCAAATCAGGAAACGCTGGTAACTGAGCTGCATGCTGACCTGCCGGATTCCATCCATGCCTAGTTGGATCATAACGTCCACTATCACGCGCTACATCCTGTTCCCGTTCACCCGCATCATGTACATGTTGCTGCTGTACTACTTCAGGTTGATCATCACATTGACCATGATGTTGTTCGAACAATGGCACACCATCTTCATCACACTGCTCACTCACATTGGACTCGCCATCACTTTGGCCTTGATCTTCACATTCATGATCATCACCGCTATCCCTGACATCCCCATCTAGCCCATAGCCACCTCCCTCACGACCATGATCACGGCTCGCTCCGATTTCTCTGATAATCCAGGCAACAAAGCAAACACCAACCATGACCATCAACAGGAGGAACCATGTGGGGAGATAAAAGCTCAAGACGCTTTCGATATGCAAGCGCATACCCTCAAGGCTGAAGCTTCCGGACGTGTTGGGCTCATACTCATTGACCATGACAACCTCATAGGCTGTGACCCCCTTCATCGCATCCATGAGCACCAGGAGTCTCAGAACTTTGCCATGCAGCCTATCCAGTTTTACCTGATCACGCGACGTGGTGTTGAACCCTTTGTACCCAAGTCGGACCATCAAGAAACCATACCTTTCAGAGCTCAACACTTTGGTTCCAATATCCAATGTGTTCAGGTGTGTAGAAATGGGACCAAATGCCACACGCTTTTCATTTGCAGCACGTTGCAGCCACAAAAGCTTCGTGTCAAGATGACGTACTTTGGATACACCGCGTTTCTGCAACAACGATCTTGCACTAGAACTGTCTAGCCGGCACAACAACCTACATGGGGCACTGGACAACGTCTGGACGATGTGCTGCACATAGATGGCCTCTGCAGCGGTAGAACAGCAAACAATCAACTCTGCCTCGCATGAACTCAATGAAATCGATCCCTGTTTTCTCACGAAACAGAAGACTGGGTTCCCATTGAGGAAGACGTGTCCACAACTTGAAGAGACACGGTCATGATGGCCTGCCCAATCCGAGTCGCTGACCGATTCAATCAAATCATGCTCTCCGCCATTCTCCTCTTGCAATGCTCTTGCCTCCCCTCTGGACAGAACCCTATCATCTAAGCATGACCTTCCAGGAAAAGTCCACTTTAGAACTTGGCACACATCAGCAGTACACTGGAGATACCCTGCTAGATGACAAGCGTGTCTGAACATTTTCCATGTTGGTTTGCTCATAGCTCTGGCCAAGTGTGCAATGGTCCATTGGCAATCAGGAAGATCTGGTGACAAGTACAGAAAACTGCCCACAGCTCCTCTATACCGGGACGCCATTTCTTCACCCAACTCCTCTGAGTAATCAGGCTGACTTATCTCTGCACTGCATGGGGTCTTCCTAGTTCTTGTCTTCTTGAGATCCAAAGTGGCACAAATCTTTTCCAAGTACTTGGGACTCAACCCCCATGTCTGTGATCACCAGCTCCTTCTTCAGGAACTTCACTACGTCTCCCACATCGCACGCCACATCTGACAACTCAAGCTTGTACTTACTTTTCAAGATGCTTGCAACATGCTCCATAGTGTCCGCCTCCCCTGCCATGAGCCCATCATCCACATGGACTGTGGAACCCATTCCTGGTTTGCCAAACTCTGCTGGGCATGCTGCATCAGGAACTAACCCGGACTCCTTCAAATCCTCAGTGAGCTGTTCAGCCCACCATGCCGCAGCCGGCTGTTGTCCTGGCAAACAATAGTGGACTCTGTAGGGGACACCGTCTAGCAACACATAAAGTTCATCACGTTGCCGAACAGTGAGAAACGCATCCTTCACATCGAAAGACTGCATCTTCCAATCCGGCCTTGATACCATTAGAGCTGGGAGAAGTTTAGAGGTAGAGGGGCTTGTGCTTGGGGCATACACATCTG